CCGTACTTCCTGAAAACTGCGAACGCAATAAAGTTTTACTTGCATCAAGGGAATTACGCAAAAACGTAAACTACACAAATGTCTTCATTAATCCAGATATGACTCTTGCCGAAAAGCAAATCGATTCTCAACTAAGAAAGGAAAGAAATAAAAAAACCAATTACTCCTAGAAATTGAACCAAAGTCACCCTTTTGATGGTGCATTAGGCGCAACGAAGTCATTAAACTCAATTATAGTAAACGAAAAATATAAAAAAACTATTAAAAAAAGTTGGACTAATTTACAAACCAATAAAAAAATTACTGAAATTAAATCCTTAAAAGCTATCTACACAAACATTGACTCTCTATTAAATAAGCGCCATGAGCTCAAACAAGTTGTAAATAATCTGAAACCCCAAATTATTTTTCTAACAGAGACTCTACCTAAAAACAAAAAAATTGAAATTAACGATCTTGAGTTTGCTATTGAAAATTACTTACTATATACAAACCACAGCAATAATTCCTGCAAAAGAGGTTTAGCAATATTTATACATAGCAAACTATAGTCGTCCTTATTTAATCTTGATATATTTCCATCCAAATCGCTTAGTTGTGAAATTACAACAAAAACTTCTAAGTTGTTATTAAGCTTATATTACAGATCACCAAACAGTAATGATGAAAACACAAACTGCATAAATCACCGCATCACCAAACTTTCTACTAAGTATCCAAACATTCTTATTATCGGAGATTTCAACTACCCAGATATCAGTTGGCAAAATCCAAAACAACCTATAACAAATGCCACTAAATCAATTAAGTTTACTAAAAATATTTGTGATTCTTTTCTAACCCAACATATTTCAAATGCAACACACATAAGACAAAATCAAAAGCCAACTACAATTGACCTCTTATTTACTTCTGATGAAAACATGATTTTCCATTTAACTCATCTAGTACCCATTGGCAAAAGTCATCATCAATTACTATACTTTACTATATTAATTAAATCTATTATAAATATACCACCATACTTTACAAAACATTTATATACAAAAGGAAACTATGATAAAATTAATGAAGACCTTGCAAATATTAAACTTTGTCCAACATCCAACTCGGACCAATTATGGAGTATATTTTTCAATAAACTTCAAAATAGTATAAACAATAACATACCAAAATCCAACATTAAAAATATAAAACGTTCAAAATGGATTGACTCTCAAATAATCCATGAACTTAAAGACAAACAAGCAAAATATCGTCAATATATACTAAACAGAAATGAAGAAACATATAATGAGTATTGCATTTCACGAAACAAAACAAAAGCAGTGTGTAGAAAAGCAATAATTGAATTTAAAAAAAAACTTGCTAGAAACATCAATCAAAATCCTAAAGCATTTTTCTCGTATGTCAAATCAAAAAGAAAAACCAGAGACATTCCCTGACATCCAATACAATAAGGTTGTTGCAACTTCTGATCGAGATAAAGCTCATCTATTCAATAGTTATTTTGCTAATACTTCTACAAACGAAAAAATAACAACAATACCGCCATTTAACCTAACATATAAAAGTGTAAACCCACTTTCAAACAATATTGATTCAAGTCCAAAAAATATAGAAACATACTTCCAAAATCTAAACGCGTCTAAATCACCAGGCCCTGATGAATTACACCCAATAGTTTTTATAAAAACTTGCTCTCAAATATCTAAACATTTACCTACTATTTTCAACAAAGTCCTTGAGATTGGATCAATACCCCAAATATGGAAAGACGCAACAATTTCACCCATATTCGAAAAAAGAGAAAGATCTAAAGCAATTAATTATAGACCTATCAGTATAACTTGTACCTCAATAAAAATCTTTGAAAAAATTATAAAAAAAACATATTATGACACACCTGATTAGCAATAACTTATTAAGTCCACACCAATATGGATTTCATCCAGGTCATTCCTGCTTAACTAACATTTTAACTGTAATTAATTATTGGACATTATCACTTGATAAGAATATTCCTATCAACAACATTTATCTCGATTTTGAAAAAGTCTTTGACAAAGTTCCATATAAATTTCTTATTTCTGAACTTAAAGCTTATGTTATAAATGGTTCAATACTATATTGCATAGCAAACTTTTTGGAAAACCGTAGACAAAGAGTTGTTATAAACGGTAATTATTCCAACTGGGTGTCTGTTAAAAGTGGAGTTCCCCAAGGCTCTGTCCTTTCAGCGTTACTCTTTATTATATATGTCAACGATATCCCTGAATTAATCAAATCAAAAGCTGCTCTTTTTGCTGATGATACCAAAATCTTCCGATCTTTATAAAGTACCCAATCTGCGCAAGAATTACAAAATGACATTGACGCTCTTGTTTTATGGTCTCAAAAATGAGGAATGAAATTTAACATTGATAAATGTTCTGTAATACACTTAGGACACAACAACAAATCCCATACTTATAATATGCATGATCCAGAACAAAATATAAAAGTAAACATTAAACCCACAAATTGCAAACAAGATTTAGGCGTTCACATGGATTTAAACTTATTATTTTCAAAACACACAACTATTCAAGTTAACAAAACAACACAAATAGTAGGAATAAGAAAAAGAACATTTACATTTTATCCAAATTTATCATCCTTCAAAAAACTATTTACAGCTCTAGTCCGCCCTCACATAGAATACTGTGGAACAGTTTGTGACCCTGTACTTCACAAAGACAAACGACAATTAGAAAATGTTTTAAGAAGAGCTTCAAAAAGAATTAAAGGGTTATATGATCTACCATATAAACAAAGGTTATTGGCGCTAAATATGATAACTATTATATATAGGCTACTTCGCGCAGATCTAGTTAACGTTTATAAATAGTGCAAAAAAAACAAACAATGGTGATAGAAGTCTGTTTGAAATTGATAGCCAATTTATTACTCGTGGTCATATCTATAAACTAAAAAAACATTCTTCCCGATTAAATTTACGCATTAACTTTTTCTCTCTAAGAATAGTTAATAAATGGAACTCTCTTCCTAATGAGATTGTAACCGCTTTATCACTAAAATCATTTAAGCTACTCACTAAAATACGCTTTATCACTAAAATCATTTAAGCTAAAAATGAATGGCTTCTCTATGACTAATCTGCATTTATTTTAGTTATAAAATTTCTATAGTTTCAAATAATATATGAGACCAGGTTGACAGGCAATTTGTGCCTATACAATTTATTGTAAACCTTAATTGTAAAAAAAAAAAAAAAAAAAAATCACAACCACTATGTTAAAAAAAATGTTTGAATGTACATTAGAAAAAAAAAACTACTTAAAATATTTAATAAAGTACATTAAAAGTATGTTATTCATAATTTCTACTTGATAAGTTCATAAAGTAACTTATCTGGTAATAGGTTCTTAAAATAACATGTACACATTAAGTGGACATTTTAATATTATTTTTTACATGTATGTACATTAAAAATATATCATTAATAATCTCCACTTAACTGGTTTATAATACTTTTCTACTATTATTTTAGGTATAGATATTATTATTAAATAACACTCTCATACTCTATTTTTGCACTCCCTAGAGGTACCAAATATTACGTTTTTTATGGTGGCTCGGGGGGTGCGTGTGATTACTGTTTGTTATGACTGTGGTCACGGTTATGAGCATTTAGTATTATTGACTTTTTATTTTAAAAATATGTTGAGTTTTCATATCAATTTCTTTAAAAGTGTTGTGCAATAATAATTTGTTAAAAAATAGAGTTTTGTTTTACTTGTATTAATACCAATTTCCATTTAATTTATAAAGAGTATTAGAGTGCAATTATTTTTACCTGAAATTTGGCAGGTATGTAGAAAATAGATGTAGAAAATTAAATGAACATATTACAGAAATCAATTAGCTTCAATATTAATACACTTCCACAACAGGAACAAAGTTTTTAATTCCAATAAAATTATTGAAAACGTTAGTAACTGCAAAAAAATAACCATAAAACAAACTTTAAACCTTCTACTTTTAAAATAAAGTCTAAGTTAATATAAGATTCTAAAAAATAAGGTAACAAACTCATCCTTACAACACTTACACCATGCATGCTGTGAAAAGGTAAGTCACAGATTTTTACTTTAAAATCGGTGTCGTAAAAGCCAGATAAAAGCCAGCACGTACCTATAAATTGATTGATTTTTTTTTTAATGTGTAAAAACTTGTCGTCATTAACAAGAGTCATTAACATTAACATTCAAAAGTTGAAAAACATTCAAAAGTTAGTAAAAAACTTTTTTTAAATTTTAATTGATGTCAGTTATTCTCTAGTTTAGATTTTTCCATACGTTTTATTTTATTAGTTTATTTTTATTATTCAAAAACTCTTTATTTACATTTTTGCTGTTTACCTTAAGTTTAGTAAAGTTATAAAGAAATTTGCATAATTATATTATACTTTAAAATAAGTTGATGTTTTTATACTAAAAGATATATTAATACTTTCGGTAAAATAAATTAGCTAGTAGAGTAAACTGAAAATAACAACAAAAATAATCAAAAATAAAACTTGCAATGAAACATATAAATTCCATAACTATTTATTACAGGTAAATTTAATTCTATTATATGTACTATATGTAAAATTTAATTATATTAACTATATGTAATATTTAATTCTATTATATGTACTATATGTATTATATGTAAAAGGCAAAATAAAATGCTCAGATTTTAAAAGAAAATTTAAAAGTTTACCAAGCAGTAAATTCTTAAAATTATCAAATTCCAGAAAATTTTCTGATAAATTTTACCTTCACAATACTAGATTTTTGATATTACTTAAGAGTGAATGGTAGTTTTTAGAATAGCATTGCCTTAAGTTTATTTGGAACACAAATATCAACTCAGTAGCCAAATGATTAAACATGAGTAAATTAAAATTTTAAAAATCCATTTAATTATTTAGAACAAAATTATTTTTTTAGGTTGAAGTTTTTGGTAGTTTTCGTACAAATATATATTTACCAACAAGGTATTGCTTTACTTAATTTGAATTATTTTTTCTTTAATTTGATTAGTTCTAACTATCAGGGTTGGGGTCAAATATTTTTGATCAAATACATTTATTCTATTATCAAAATCATTTCAAAATCATTAGTTTTAACTATAATATAAAATAGAAATAAAAAATATATAACTTTTATGTATATCTTTTTTATTATATAGTTGTATTTATTTGGACCTAGGGGAAGGCACGTATAGCCTATTCAGATTAGGTGTTAACTTCATGCATGGAAGGTCTGCGGTTTGTATTTCACCTCATCCAAAATCTTTTTTAAGTTTTCTACCCTAAGTCTTAAGTTTTCTACTACTACTAAGTTTTCTTTTTGGTTTACTATTTTATTAGTGATATATATGTAAACAGTTATTAACAATTAATGATAATTATTAATAATAGTTCACTAATAACATAGTAGACCGAAAGGGAGGGGGTAGGTAGAACTAAATGCAATAAGTCAAAGCCAAATAAGCAACAGATATCCAAAATTTCATAGCGCTAAAAGATCAGGGATGAAAAAGCGTACAAAAATAAAAAGGTAATACCAACGGGTCAGGGTAACATTCGTTTTTGCTATGTCTAATAACATCTGTCCAACAACATCCAAAATTTTATCAATGTATAACAACATCCCTGCAACAACATCCCAAGTTTTATTGATGGTAAGTAGCATCTGTCCAATAGCATCCAAAATGTCATTGATGTATAATAACATCCGTGCAACTACATCTGTAGATTTTTTAGATGTAACTACATTCAAAATTTTTTTAATAATGCATTATTTTTATCAGATGTAGTTAGTTATACATCTGATTTTTTTAGGATGTAACTAATCCATAAAAAAAAAAATTATTGTAATGCATTATTTTAAACATAATAGATTATTATTTTAAAATTATTATTTGATAGACTGCTTGGCCAAACCAAACCCTCAGTCGATGTAGCAGCACTCCATTGCGAGTCAGGCTATTTGTCAGTCGATGTAGCAGCACTTATATAATATAATAATTATATATGTAACTGCATCTGGAATTTTTTTTTTTAATAATGAATTATTTTAACCAGATGTAGTTACACATCTGATTTTTTTTGATGTAACTAAATCCGAGAAAAAAAATAATTTAGAAGTGCATTATTTTAACCAGATATAATTACACATCTGATTTTTTTCGGATGTAATTTAATAATGCATTATTTTAGACAGATGTAGTTACACATTGAGAAAAACTACCGGATGTAGTTACACCTTTCTAAAGATGTTTTTAGACATCAAAGAAATTTTGTATATTGTTGGACAGATGTTAATTTAGTAAAGAAAAAAAGCGAATGATCTTGGACAAAAATGTGCAGATGTTATTTCACTACTTCACAGATGTTGTTGGACAGATGTAGTAATCTTTTCCCATACAAAAAATTAAGGCTATGTGAAAAATGTGTAGACAACATGATCTAATTAAAGTTTAAAAACTATGTATATATATATGTGTGTGCACCTTGTAAAGTACACTAAAAGGCTTAAATGGTATTAGAAATCTGAATGTGAAGAGATGTGTATCATTCATAAACTTACAACAAAAAGATTTTTATATACAAAAAAAAAGCTAAATGGTTACAATGCAAATATATGACTATTTTAAATGATATTTAAAAAAAAAACAATTTAAAAGAATTGACATTGGTGGGATTCGATTTATGGAATATCCGTTTTGAAGTGATATATATATATATATATATATATATATATATATATATATATATATATATATATATATATATATATATATATATATATATATATATATATAAAAGTTAAGTAAATTAAAATAAAACTCAAAAACCTCAAAGTTAAAATTACTTTTTAATATGTTTTTAATTACATTTGAACTAAACTACTTAAAAACTTATCTTTTGAAACATTTCATTAAATTTACGCAAATATCTTTTACAAATTAATTATAATTATTGTTTTATGAATGTACAAATTTTATTTAGATTATTGAAAAGTGAAATTAAATTATTGAAAAGAAGTAATATATAATCAAGTAAACTTGATTTTTTCATAAAAGTATGTATTGGTATATGTTTTCAATGAATGTAACTTGACATTTATAATCAGACATTATTTGGGAAAATTATCCGTGAAAAACCATTTTTTTATGAAAATTAAAGTTATTATTTTCAATAACACACCTAAATGAGTATGTTTAACAATAATGTCACATTAGATTCAGATAAACTATGGTAGTGTTTTTTCTACAAAAGTTATTTATGCATATATAATCATAACTTTTATCCTTATTCCAAAAACTGTTTTCAGTATTAAGTATCATTTTTTGAAATTTTTGATTAAAAATCTTTAATTGACTTTTGGTTTCTTTTATTTTTATAACAATAATTTAAAAGTAACCTAAGTTACTTTTAACTTATGTTATAAAAACAGTTGTATGTTTGAACACTAAGTCGATAAAAATAGCTATTATCGCTTCAGTAATGTATTAAGACAAATAATTTTTGTTGTTAGCACAGCACAAAATAAAATATATATTTCATAATTTATTCCAACTGCTTTTAAAAGTAGCATATTTTTTTGAAATATACCAACACAAATGTATTGAATTGTAATAGGTTCATAAATTATGTCAAACAAACACTTCAAGATATCTTTATAATTATATTGATATATCTTCTGCAAAACTGTTGTAATAGACACTTAAGTTGTTGATAATATTTTGCTGTTATTTACGAATTCTTTGTTCGCATAACTTAAATACCAATAAATAAATAATTTTTTGGCTTGCCACTAACAACCAATTGGAATTGTTTAAAATTATTAGCTTTTTTTTTTATGAGTTTGTTTGTTAGTTTGCCTTTGCTTGTTTGCCTTAGTTGCATTGAAATGTAAAGATTTTTTTTTATTGCATTTAAATTGTTAAAACATCAAAACAGCTGTTGTCAAGTTGTAAAGAAAAAAAAAACAAGTGTTATCAGTTACAGCGTCAAAACTTAAGTTTATCTAAAAAAATATACAATATTAAATTGGAACTATTTAATTAAAAAAATGCAAAAATCTGCGATGAAATATTTTAAATAACTAACCTTAAATAACCTTGATTTCAATTGCATAACTTGGTTCTGTAAAACCATAATAAGTATATTTAAAAAATTTGATTGGACACTGTCCGACTCAAACAAATTTTGTTTGGACGTTTTGTCTGGGACTTTATAAAAAATTGAGTCTTGGTATGGAAAATAAATATAATTATATAATAAAGAAAGTTATACATAAAGTTATATGCTTGCATTATATAGACATTTTCATATAGAGACAATATATACTTGTTGCAATAAAATTATACAAATATATTTCACAAACAGATATAATTTATATTTTCGCTTTCCTATTTAAATAAAAAATAATTGAAATATAGGCAAGTTGTTATTTTTAATGTCGACAATAAACTGTTTTTTTTTTTTTTTTTTTTTTTTTTTTTTTTTTTTTTTTTTTTTTTTTTTTTTTTTTTGCTTTTCCTTGTCAAATTTTGTTGCTAAAAATAACAAACACCCTAAAAAAAACAAAAACAGTACACAAATTAATTAAATTATTTTTTATTTTTATTTATTTTTTTTTCTATTTAAATTTATGTTAATTTCCTATTTATTAGTTTTGCTTTCTTTGTTTTCGAAACTTAGTTTTTTCTGCAATGCACATTATAAAAAAAATTGCAAACAGCCACGACCAACTTGTCTTCAATAAAATACTTATGCATGAACATACAAGACAAAAAACTGCGCACATTTTCTGGGAAGGCTTGAACCATGTATTCTTGATTTTGACCCAGAACTCTAACTATTGCACAATGGCTGCTTGCATATTAGTAATAGTAATAATGATATCTAGGTCATGTGTGGCTTCTTTGCTATTGTAAAAAAAAAAAAATTACCTAGGATATAATAAACAATTCTATTAATTGCAGATAAGGGTAAAAAGAGCTAATAACTATTGGATTTTTAATCTCAGTGTTTAATATTATAATAAAAGTCTTAAGTCCTAATTTGCAACGCCAGGAATGTCATACCATTGTAAAAAGTTGCTTCACCTATATTAAAACTTATATTGCATGTTTAGATTATCTGTCTGTTGTCAAATTATAATAGCCTGTTGCCAGGGGCTTCAGTACATACATCAACAGGCTAAATAGGTAGAACATGCAAGGAGTGTAAATAAGTAGTAAAAAATAAATAACACTCAACTGAGTATTTTTAATGTGATATTAGCATTAGGAAAATTACTATTCAAAGTTAACAAAGTCTTCTTACCTTAACAAATAAATAAATTGTGGACTTTTATATCCAATATTTTTGCTGTTGTTGCTATCTAGCCAATAAGTTAAAATACTTAAGGACGTTAAAGCAGCAATAATATATAATCTTAACCAAATATATTAGACAACCTATTAATTAAATAAAATCTGTTAAAGAACTTACCAACTAAATAAAATATATTAAACCTATTAAATAAATAAAATGTATTAAACAACCTATTAAATAAAATTTATTAAACAATCTATTAAATAATCAAATTTATATGTTTAATGTTTGATAAAATGTTTAATAAAATATAGTCGAGGCCAGGTTTTGACCGGGGCTGCATAAACATTTATAAATCCTAAAGTATATATTTTTATTCAAAATCCATGTTTTATATATATATATATATATATATATATATATATATATATATATATATATATATATATATATATATATATATATATATATATATATATATATATATAATCCTCGGAATTAGGGTCGGCATTTGGCAATGCCAACCTAACTGCCAACTGAAAGTACTTAAGGTCGGCAAAAAATTGCCTCGTTTCTATGTTTTATGTTCAGATCTTTGTATCAAATAATTTTTGCCGACCTGATGCTGACACTCAAAAAGATTGAGGTCGGCAAATTATTGCTGACCTCATTTTTCCTAATTCTGAGGGTTGATATATATATATATATATATATATATATATATATATATATATATATATATATATATATATATATATATATATATATATATACATATATATACATATATACATATATACATATATAAATATCATTATGATCAACATGATCATCATTATGATCATGATGATGATGATGATAATCATCATCATCAACAACAACAGCTTAAAAGAGGAAGGCTAAAGCCTAATGATCGTGATCAACATCATCATGATGGTGATGATCATCATCATCATTATTAACATGATCATCATCATCATCAGGCTTTAGCCTTCCTCTTTTATGCTGTTTCTCTAATATAAACAATCTAGAGCTTTTTTTTTTCTCAACTAAAGCTCATTGATACAATATGTAAGACACTCTTTTCAGGCTTTCTTACTTCTGCCTCTACCATTTTCTGCTGAAACTGCTACCTCTCTACATGCTGATAACTAAATTTCTTTAATCTTTTCTATCAAATGTTGTTTGATACAACGTTTTTTTTAATCTGTCTAAGATCAGAAAAAACGATTATGCCTCTATTTTTTAAACTGCTAGAATCACACATCCATCTGATCATCTTCTTTTTTAACAAATAATAAACCATTTAAATTCTAAAGTTTATATAACAATGAAAGGGTATTTTATGCCAGCATCTAAATAAATAGCAAAGATATGTTTATATCCATAATATGTATCCATAAAGTGCATCTTGGAAGCTTTTATTCCTTCTGGAATAAAAGTTTAGAAGCTTTTATTTCTTCTCTTCAATTTTAAGGCCTTATTTTACTCCACATTTTTCACCATCTTGAGCAGTTGCTTTATTAAAAATTATTTTTTTTTTTTTTATCTTTTTTACAAGAACATCTCTCTTAAATGTCCTTTTATTATTGCAAGAAGCCAATTTAAAAAAGTCCTTTCTAATGTTAAGTTCTGTTTTCTCATTTTACTAAATCTTGTATCTTATCTCATTCATGTCTGTTATTCTCAGTTTACTAAATCTTGTTTCTTATCTCAGATGTTAGGTTCTAGAGACTTTTGGTTAGTCTTCAACAATGGCGGGGTCAGTAACTAAAGTAAGTCTAACATTTAATCTCTAATTCATGGGTCTGATCTTTTTACTTCTTCCCAGAATAAAGCAGAGGTTTTTTTGCAAAGAAATCTCATTCTAATTTGACTCTTGAATATAATGGCCATACTCTTCCTGACAGTTAAACAGATTAACCCATTGCTAAACATGAAAATCACTCTGGCTTTTCAGATTAACCCATTGCTAAACATGAAAATCACTCAATGCTAAAGTTAATTCTCAATAAAGCACTTTTACAGTTAGTGCTTCAGAATAGATTTCGATCATAGTCTTAAAAAAGTGTTCTGCAGAACTCTCTTCAATTTTTGCTAAACTTTTAAAATGATTCTCTATTTTAAAGTAACTCATAATTGTGGTTGCTTGCAATCTTGCTAAAAATAAATTAGAGTTTAAAAATATATTAATATATGCCAGTATTTAATAAATAGTGAATTTAAGCATAAAATTATAATATATTTAGTATTATCAATTTTTTTCTTGACCTGGCTATCAACCCCTGCTAAATCTTATAATTTTGCCGGGGCCAGGTTTGCAAGTGTCCCATTTTTAGCTGGGGCCAGGGGCCCAATTATTTACTAATAAGAAATTCTCTTGGAGAAGCTGATTAAAGGGTTGTTGTATTTAATTGTACACAATTTCAGAATCTACACAAAGATGCATATGAGATATCTTCCAATAAATACTGAAAATATTAAGCAAAAAATACAGCTTTTGAAATATTCTAATTGCTAAACTTCTTTCTTCAGTTCAATTTGACAATGGTTGTGTTTGTTTTGTGGATCTAAAAAGAACTTATTCCAATTTAGTGTTCTTTTCGCAGTTCTTTTTGGAGTTCTTTTTGCAATCCAACATGTGATGCTATTTCTATTAAATCATCTGCATCAAGTGAAGATGAGAAAGCAATCTTAATATTAACATGCTCATCTATAAACATTTGTGGATGTATTTGAAGCATCATTAATATAAATTAATATTTGTGTATTAGTTCCATTCTAAAAGCAAATAATGAATATTACATTGTATGATACAAATATTTTTTAGTATCATACAATGTAATATTCATTATTTATTTAGCAACTAATAGAAATCTCATTGGAAATTACTACTAAATGCCTAAGTTTTATAAAACTTTTATATCAAAATGGTTTAAGCCCTATGCACAAAGTGTTAATTATTTTTGTAAAATTTTTAATTTTTATTATTTTATCAATTCTTTTATTATGTATCAACTCTTAAAATGTATTTATGCTTTAATTTAGTGATATTGATTTGGTTGTTTTTGGAAAATGGGAAAAATTACCTTTGTTTACATTAGAAAAAGCACTCGTTCAAAATGATATTGCCGATGCTGCTACTGTGAAAGTTCTTGACAAAGCTTCAGTAAACTTCCATTACATAGTTTTGTTTTTCTTGAACTTTTTTTCTTTTTTTTAGATATTTAAATTATGTTAAGGTTTTCCTATTTACACCTAGGTTCCAATAATAAAGCTTACTGATAAGAAGACCAGGGTTCATGTTGATATAAGTTTTAACACAGATACTGCAGTACAAAGTGCAGAGATGGTAAAGGTAAAATTAATTTATTAGTCAAGACATATTCAGTCACAATTTCCTATTTTTATATGAATAATAAAAACAATTCGACATTCTCTGCGATTATGATATATATGCTAGTATGAATATATATATATATATATATATATATATATATATATATATATATATATATATATATATATATATATATATATATATATTCATACTAGCATACATAGCATAATCGCAGAGAATGTCTAACTGATGAACCTTTTTCAACAAACTTTTAAGTGTGTATGTATATATATATATATATATATATATATATATATATATATATATATATATATATATATATATATATATATATATATATATATATATATATATATTTATTCACAACAATTTCTAGTAATAAATTATTATTTGTATTGAGAAAATTCGTTTTATTTGATATATTAAAGAAATTAATCAAGTTGATCTCCACAAATTTTTTAGTATCATACAATGTAACGATGTAATATTGATTGTTTATTGAGCAACTAATAGAAATTTCATTATTGGAAAGTTCTATTAGTTGCGTTACCTTTATCAGGCTTATTATTATTATTTTAAAATCTGATAAAGGTAACAATGTCGTCATATTAGATAAAGAACTATCCGTAATTTTTTTAATAAATATAGAAATATAACTTCAAAATTTTATTTTGAAGTTATATTTCTATATTTATTAAAATCTTTTATAAATATAGAAATATAATTTCAAAAGACCATAAATAGAGAAATATAACTTCAAATTTTTTTTTAGGAAATTAAAAGCAAAAGGTCTTTTTAATGATTCTACATATAACAAAATTTATCCGCCTGAATCCCATCGTGCTTGTATCTATGGACTTCCAAAGATGCATAAATTAAATTTTTCTGAGACTAACATAAACCCATTGTATCATCTATTGGAACCTATAACTACTAACTAACCAAATTTCTTAGAGATTATCTCCATTAATAAACACTGAATTTTGTACAAAAGATTCATTTTTCTTCGTTTAAGAAATTAGTCAAGTTGATCTCCACAAATATTTTTAATATCATACAATGTAATATTCATTATTTATTGAGCAACTAATAGAAATCTCATTGGAAATTACTGCTAAATGCTTTAGTTTTATAAAACTTTTATATCAAAATCAAATTTTATCACAATTTTGTGTAGTTTCATAATGAGCAAGAAACATCTTTTTATGATGAAAACACTTTTTTATGAGCTTTTTGCAGGCTTGTGGCAAGCGTGAAAAGACTTAAGCGCGAAAATGCTGGCTAAACGGAGAAGACTGAATCAAGGTTTAGTAAAACTCTAAATTTGACTATATAACAAATTCAAAATGACCGATTTTGAATTCCAGAAGCCTATAATGGTAGAAAGTTTAAGTTCAGATATCTCAGCAGCTACAAAACATCCCAAAATCATTTTTTTCTACTTCTTATATTGAAGATATATTCTTAAAATTTCAAGTGTTGAATTTACTGGACACATTGGTAATTTTCAGTTCTGAAATGGACCAAATTTTACCATTTTAAGGCTGGAGGTTTTTTTAGGGGTTCTTACTTCTATAATTTTGAATCCAATGTGACAAAGCTTATCATGAATGATGGCTACCACCTATATTCTCACAAAATAACATAATTTTCACATTTGCTTTTGTATTCTGCTTTTATTTGCTTTATTAATATGGAAAATTTTTCTTTCAAGTGTTTTTTTTTGTTAAAAACTTCAAATAAAGTCCAAGATAGCCAAAAATAGTTATTTTTGTAAAAAAAAAAATATTTTTTCGAAAGTTAAGGTAGATTACTGTCATCAGATTGATTTTCAAGTATTTAAATGATTGGTTTTTTATTTATATGGATTCGAAAATGAGACTTTTTTTGAAAAAGTCGATAAATTGCTCAAAATAGGCTAAAACATTTATGTTTCAATTGCTGTAGTTATAGAATGCTTTAATCTTGATTAATTCTTTATAAAATTGCAAAGAAATAGTCTTAAAAAACTTAAGCGAAGTCAAATATAATATAATGAAAAAATTAACTTATTTAAAAAACTTAAATTTATTTTTCTTTTATTTTTATTTGTAAATAATTATTTAAATTTGTAAATTTGTTTTAAATTTAGAGTTACATTAAAGAATTCAAAGTTTTACCTCATTTGTATCTTACCCTTAAATATTTTCTTTCACAACGAGAACTAAATGAAGTTTTTACTGGTGGAATAAGTTCATATTGCTTGATGCTGTTAACTGTTAGTTTTTTACAGGTATCAATTTTTTCTTTTTTTGTAAGCTACAACCTGACAAAAATCAATCATTTTTTTCGATTCTTCTTTTTTTGAAAAAAATCTACTTAAAAAATATTAGGACCTAAGCCTAAGATATATTAATTGTTTTGTCGGTGTGTTTATGTGTGTATGTATGTATGTGTGTGTATATATATATGTATGTGTGTGTATATATATGTATATATGTGTGTGTCAGGCTTGGACAGGAATGGCGTGCGATCGAGCGCTATTGCTGACCACGCAAATGATTTTATTTTTTGACAACTTGACTACGACTGTTAAATAAACAATGTTTATATGTTTTGATAAGTTAAAAATTTCAGAAATGTTCTGAATGTAGAAACGCTAAGCTAAACTTCAACTAGAAAAAAAAAACTAACAAAAAAAGAAACGAAAAACAAAATCATAACGAAAAAGTAATTATATAAGCACTAAAATGAAAATAAAAACTTAAACTCGAAGCGAAACTTTTTGTTACGTTTTTAATTACGTATGAAATAAACGTTATTAAAACTTATCTTTTTAAGCATTATTGAAGTTACGCAAAACGTTTTTAAATTAAGTAATAAATACTACTAATGATTGGTTTAATAAAAAAATAAATTTTATTAAATTTATTAAAAAGTGTTATATATAATATTTTTAAATTGTATAAACATTTATTTTGTCAAAAAAGTTGCAAAAAATAATTGTTTAAAAAAATAATGTAGTCTTTTTAAAATAGTAATTTTTACTAATTTCATGCTTTAATTAGTGAGTCTAATTAATAAAAAAAGTTTTAAACTTTTTTATTCGTAAAAATAGAAAAAAATAAATAAATAAAATGCGCCTGCGATTTAGATAAAATAAACTGCCAACAAGCTTTTTAATTTAATTTTAATTTGAGCATTACAACTTTATTAATAAGCGCTTCACGTAACGAATTTAAAAATTATTATAAAAGATTTAATCTCATTTTTAACGAAATTGTTTACAAAAAATAAAATGTTTATCTAAAACATTTTAAAAAATCGTAATTTTAATCATAAAAATAATCCTTAATTTTAATCCTTAATTTTAATCCTTAAAATATTCTAAATTACAAAAACGTTGAAAAAAGTCTACAAGCTATTAAAACATTTTTTAAAAATAATTTTGAATATTTCAAGCCCTTCTTAAAATAAGTTGCAGAACCTTATCAGAAATGTTGCCTTAAGACTCTAAAAACAGTGCTAAAAAGATGCCTGCGCAGAATAAATCCAATTTTCTTTAAATCGCCTTTTAGAATACCTAGCATTTTGAGGTGCTGCACCTAAGGTTTTGAGGTACCAAATCAAAAACTACATAACAAACTTAAGTGATTACTTTTTGTAATTTTTTTAAAATAACATTAACAAATGTAAAAAAAAAATATAAAGATAAGATCCGGGTAAAATTTAATCCAAAATCAGTGAATAGAGTATGCTAGGTTGTATTCTGGATAAAATCTATTATAGGAATGAAGTCTTCAACATTATCTTCATCAGACTCAAACTGAAGATATTTTTTGGGTCTTCACAAAATGGTTTGATCATATTTGGTTTTCACCTCAACATACTGCTTTTAACATATAGCTTTCAAAACATTATGGCAACATGAGCATTCTCGAATCTTAGTTGCGGCACAAACATTTTTTCCAAATAAACATTCTTCTCTAAATTTATAGAGTGCCTCAATTTGTTACTTGGATTTCCTTTCTTTATTAGCTTTCTCTTTTTTGGCTTTGTCTTTCTTGATTGAAGAAACCGTTTCCAATATTTTTTTTCCTCTCCATTGAGTCATGAACCTAATGTTTTCCTTGTTTATTTTAGATGTTAGTTTGGTTACAGCCAACAAGTTAGGTATTTCTTCCAGTGATATTGATTTATCAGATATCGTTTGATAAGCTTTCATGGCACTTTCGTATTTATATTTTCATATAAATACGAAAGTGCCATATGAAAATATATATTTTCAGCAATATATATGAAAATATATATTTTCAGCAAGATATTGTTTCCAATATCTTGGTAAGCCATAGCGAACACCTTTTGGAGATAAAATTGTTACTGCTGTTGAAAATTGATTGTTTTCAGTATTTTCATTAATACATTAAAACTCAGCTTGTAAAAACTTATCTTCCACTTAACACTGAGTTATCGGCTTGAAATGCCGATAACTCAGTGTTAAGTGCATTTTTTACCTGCATTTAAGATTGTTTGTTTTGATGCCCACTTTGGCCATAACTCTGAAAATATTCTCCTGAAACTTTCTCTGTTGATTGTTTAAAGTTGATTGTTGTTGATTGAATAAAGTACAGATTTCTCAGAAATGTCAAATCTTAAAGAGTGACCATCAGATAGAACAACAACAGGCCATTTTATATTGTTTTTTCCTAAAGTGAATTATAAAAATATTGATACTGTGCATCTCTAATGTCTTTTCAACAAGATTAAGCAATCAACTTTCCTGTGATCAACTGCCCTGTGACCACACATTTGAATAAATGATAGGAAACGTTCAACTGGTTTTCCATCAGGCATTACATACTGAACAACAAAAGTGAGTTGATCTACGTGCGAAATGTCTGTGGTTGAATTCACGATAATTGAATAATATTTGGCAGCTTTAAGTTCAGTAACTGTAAATTACCCAATACAAAAAAATTGCTATTTTAAACTTCAAGTGCTCTTTTTAAAACAATTTTAAAGTTTATAAAATGAAAACATAAAAGTGATATAATATAAGTGATATATAACTACCAATTATTTGTAAAAGTTAATCCCCTAGTAGCTGGATAAACTCTTTGGAAATGTTAGCTGATAGGTACACATTTTAACAAAATTGCAACCAATCCTGGAACTGCATTCACTTCGATTTACAAAGATAGAAATGGCATTATTATGTTCAACAGATTGCTCATGTTCACTGATTGCCTTATGAACAACTTTCCAGTTGCAAAATCCATTTTCGCTTGCTAGAGAACTCTTAGTTTTACCAAAATAGTAGGAAGATTTGCAGTAAACACTACCACTCTTAGCAGAATACACCAACCAATCAAGTTCTTTCCTTTCTCCATTTACCAGTTTTCTAAAAAACAACTCTTTTGAGGCACATCACAAAATTTCAGAATTGTCACGGGTTTCTGGCCTTAAAAAATCTGTGACATTGATGTCTCTAGTTTGCTGGTTTGTTGTGATAAACTCAATCAGTCCATTATTCTGACGTCTCCAGTCAGCAGGGTCAGTAGATAATACTTCGATGTTCTGAGCTAATTTTTCGCTAACAGAACTATTTATTTAAACTAGTAATTATTTGATCACATATGATACTTTTATTCAGAAATTTCTGAAGACTTTTTCACCTAAAGTTTTATTTGACTATCAATTTTGTTAATTATTTAAAACGTTGTTATACTTTAAAAAACCAAGCCCGGTTTTTATCACTGCTTTTTAAATGTTAAAAAAAAAATTTGTATCTTATAGTTATTTAAATGCTGATAGAAACCTTTTATTATGCAAAATTTTCAAGACAGTTAATTTTAATTAATAACAAAAGTGTTTTGCTATCCATGGAGTAAACAATGCAGCAGCGGAATTTTCTTTCTTCATACAAAAAATTAATCGTAAAAAAAAGAATAGTGCGTTGCGATTTTTTTTAAAATTATGATAATTCATTAAAAAATAAATTTGAAAAAAAAAAGTTTTATCTCTTTCTGACTGGTCTCTCTAAACGTCCTGGCCCTGCAGCAGCTGCCTAGGCTGGACATGTGTAAAGATGGGCCTGACTCTAGCCAAACCGTGGGGTTAAGTTATGGTTTTCAAAAATATTTGTTTTGTATAAAACCTTTTTATGGACTTTTTAAAATAGGGTGCCTAAAATACACGTCCACCTTTTTTTTTATATCATGAAAGCAAATAGGTTTTTTGTAATTTCTAATAATAATTAAGGTATTTAATGATCTTGTTCTTAAACATGTAGCATAGTGTTTTTTTTTCAAAATTACAGTTTATTATACTTTAAATACAATTGATAAAGGACTTGAATTGTGTTATTATTAAAATGCATGAATCAAATAAATTATCTGACTTTAAAAGTTACAACACTAATTCAAAATAACATATGGTTTATCCATTACTACAGAAGTTATTAAATTATTATCTAATATAAAAATCTTATGATTGATTAAGCAGAAATTAAAAGATAAAAATTATTTAATTAAGCCTTATCATTTGATCAAAAGTATAAAGAGAAATATTAAAAGACCAAGCATGCTAAATCTTTAAAAGACTCTGTGTCAAATGTGCACAAATGAGTAATGGCAGCAGCAGCGTTGAATTGATCAGTAATTATAAGCGATTTGTGGTCTTTAAAGTAATTTTTCTTCTTTTGAGTCTTTTGCAAAATTCACTTGACTTACTTGCTCTTTGTGAGATTCACGTGAGAACACATCTCCTCTTGTGATCTTAGTGTTGATCTTCCTTTAATTTGTAAAGACTCCAATAGTCGCATGCTTGGTCTAGGCATTTAGATTTGTAAGAATTCATCCATTTGTAGGAAAACTAAGTTTGAATCAACCAACTATTCTTTTATGTTCTTTTATTTAGCATGACTTCACTATATTGCCTTTTTTTTTCTTTTCTATATTGCTATCTTTCATCCTTAGGCTGCACTCTTTTCGATGTTATTTCGGATCAAATTGCCCAAGCCTTTTCTCTTTATCCTTCATCCGATATTGTTGTTGTTAGTGACTTTAATGCTCATCACACTGAATGGCTTGGCTCTAGTGTGAGTGATGCTGCAGGCATTAAAGCCCACAACTTTTGCCTTCCTCAATCTCAAACACAATAGTCAACTTTTCAACTCGCTTTGCAGAAAATCCGAATCATTTACCTTCTCTACTCATCTTATGTCTTGTTTCTGATCCTAGTCAGTGCTTAGTTTCTCCACATTTACCCTTAGATGCTTCTGATCACCTAAGTTTGATCTCTCTAAAACTATTATCTCATTCTTCTTCATCATCAGAATCTCCTAATCATCATACCTATTACAACTACCTAAAAGCTCACTAGGACCCTATCCGATTTTCTTTCATGGTGGCCATTGGGTAGAAATCTTTTGTTTTCCTGCTGATAAATGTGCTTCTTACATAACTTTTTGAATTCAAGTCATGAAATCTTTAATTTCCTCTTGACAATTTTGAATTGTGCCTCACTCTTTTTCATTGTTTTCCGCTCTTTGTTCTGCTGCAATTTCCAATCATATCCATTACTTTCCGAGACCCGCTATTCTCAGTTACGAAATCATGTATTTCATCATAAAAATTAGGCTCTCGTGTCTTCCAAAGAATTTTAAACAGTATTTATAATATAGACAATTCTGTTATTCCACCTCTCTTGTATGGTTCAGATTTTGTGACCTCACCTAGAAACAAAGCTGAATTGTTTGCTAAGAATATCTCATCAATATCATCTCTTGATTCCACTAATTGTGTTCTACCTGATATAGCTGACAAACAGGTTGATTTTTGCTTGAAGTTTGTATCATTCCAGCTTCTATATCTAAAGTGGTTTTCTACTTAGACTCTTTTATAGCGTGTAGTATAGACAGTATACCTGTCATCTTGTAGAAGTGTTCTTTGAAGCTGTCGTCTATACTTTCAAAACTTTTTTTTTAAAAAAAAAAGCAGCATCTGTTATCCCTATTTAAAAAAATTCTGGAAAGCGATCTGACTCATCTAACTACCTTCCCATTAGTCTATTTCCTATAATAAGCAAGGTTTGTGAATCTTTATTTAACAAACGCTTGATCTCTCATTTTGAATCTAACAACTTACTTTTTGATAATCAATATGAATTTCGATCTACTCGTTTCGATCTACTCGCTTTTATCATGCATTAGATAGAGGTGGAGATGTTAGGCTATCGCTCTTGTCATTTCTAAAGCTACAGCATGGGGCTCACAGTGACTAGAGAACTTTAATTCAGATAAAACCTAATTTTTTTCAGCCAATCGTTATTGCAATAATTTAGATCTTCCTATATGTATTAACGGTAATGTACTCAATAAGTCGTTTACCCTTTGACTTCTAGGGTTAACTCTTACTTCCAATCTTTCTTGGAAACCGTATATCAAATCCATTGCAAAATTAGCATCTGCTAAGCTTGCATCTCTTTATCTTGCTCGCCACTTTCTTACTCAGGATTCTATTTTTTATCTCTATAAATCTCAAATCCGTCCTTGTATGGAATATTGTTACCATTTCTGAAGCGGATCTTCCAATGATGCCCTTTCTCTTTTAGACAATCTGCAAAAATGCATTGAATATATAGTTGTAGAATATATAGTATATACAGCTGAAATAAAAAATTTAAAAACCAGACGATTTTTTAGACGATCAATTTTTTATTAAATTTTACTATAATTTAAAAGGCATTTTTTTTTTTTTTTTTACTTTACATAATCAAATTGCTATTGCCTTTTTAACTTTATTTTATTTAGTATTTAAATGAATCGTTTATTTTGCCGTTGTTGTTTTTTTTTAAATTTGTTTATTTAAAATTTAAATAAATGTTCATTTTGCAATATTTCTTTTTAAATGTTTTATCTTGAATTTAAATAAAACCTTGCCGTTTTTGTTAAAATTATTTTGTTTAGAATTTAAATTAACATTAGTTTTGCCGTATTTATTTTAATTATTATATTTAGAGTATAAATAAATCTGCCTTTTTAAAAAAATATGTATTATATTAAAAGATGTTTGTTAAAAATAAAATATAAATTATTTTTTGTTTTTGCCATTTTTATTTCAATTATTTTATTTAGAAAATAAATCAAATGTTTGTTTTACCGTTTTGTTTTTTGTTTTTTTTGTTTTTTATTATTTTATTTGGAAGTTAAGAATCGATCGTTGATCGGCCGCTATTTTGAGCGCTGCTATAATGAGCTAGCGTCTCTTGTGCCATCTACTAAAATTAATTATTGTTTTACTCGTCATTCAATCAAGTCTCATCCTTTTACCATGACTGTTCTTAAGTGCTTCAAAAATTCTTTGTCTAGTTTTTTCCTTGAACATAAGTTTTTTGGAATTCGCTCCCATCATCTTGTTTTACTGACTTGTGTAATTTGCATTCTTTTAAGTTGTCAGTTAATTGTTATCTTGCTCTATAAACTTTATCTGTTCACTTTCGGTAAGGAAGTAAAAGTTTCCAACTTTCATATTACTTTTCTTAAAGTAAATATGTTGAGAAAACACACACACAGATATATATATATATATATATATATATATATATATATATATATATATATATATATATATATATATATATATATATATATATATATATATATATATAAACACACACATCACAAATAATAGAAACTGTTAATCTTATTATTTGTAATAAAAATTTGTTAAATGTATCCTTAGCTTCATCCTCGAATCGATGTTACAAAATCAAATGTAAACTTAGGCGTTCTTTTGATGGAGTTCTTTGAATTATATGGAAGAAATTTCAACTACCAAAAAGTTGGTATTAAAATTAAAAATGGTGGCTCTTATATTAACAAGGATTTAGTAAGTAACTTTTGTTTTATGGTTACTCTATTATTTTTATTTAAAAGTTACTAAATAAATATAAATTTAGCTTGCAAAAGACTTGGGAAACGGTGAATGTCCAGCTTTGCTATGCATTGAAGATCCTGTCACTTTAGGTTTGTCATTATATTATTTTATATTGAACTTGCAAATGTAACCATTAGCTATCATTAGGAAATAAAAATAACATATACAATGATGTTTATAAATAAACGTTTTAGGTAATGATATTGGACGCAGTTCGTACGGTATTTTAAGAGTAAAAGAAGCGTTTGAGTATGCGTTTAATGTTCTTGATAGTGCCTTAAGAAGTGAATCATATTTTACTATAAATCCTGGGAGGTAAGATATATTTTGAAAAGTAACTTTAAATTATATAAAATGCCTTTTAATTGTAATTTTTATTATTTAATGTGTATTTATATCTAGCACATATTTGAGTCGAATTATATCTGTTCCAAAAGATCTTATTGTATATAGAAATTGGATACATAGTGTTTTTCGTACAGAGCCTTACAAACCTGCTGTTTCAGTTATTTCTCTTCCATCTCCAATTTACCAGCTATCTACTGTTCCTATTTACAGTCAAAATCGCCCTGCTCTGCTTCCGACTCCTCCTGGTCAATATTCTACCCAGCTAAAAGTATCTTCTCCATTTTCCAACCTTACAACAACAGCAAGTAGTATACAATATAATTCTTTTTATACAAACATGTATAATTCTCAACATGTTGTGTTACCAAGCAATGCAAATTCAACAATGGTTTATCCTATTGCAACCATGGTACCTAGCACAACTTCCTCTCGTAATATTTCCGTAACAGTTCATGCTTCAAATGAGCAGCAAAATAACAAAATAACTAATTTACATAAAATTGGAGAAATATCTACTCCTGGCCAGTCGATTAATCAAACACAGTTATCATATGCTAAAGCAGCTTCAAACATTGATTTATGCCGCACTTCTCGATCCTCACCTATGACAACATATAGCCGAAGCACTCCGGTTATTACATCATCTCCTACTTATAATCGTAAAAACAGTACAAATTCGAATTCTCGAAACTCTTCCCCGAGTGCGGCATCTCGTTCTAAAAATCGGCAAAATAAAGTTTTAAATGATTCTCTCGAAAAAAATAATTTTGAAAACACTGATTTAAACCATATTCCTCAGCCATTAAAAGCTGTGGTTGTAAGCGCAGATAATGCCTGGTCTCGTAAACGCAATGACATTATCTCTCTGAGCGATTCAAGTGATGATGCTTGTTATTCTAAAAAAGCTAATTTCAGATTAGACGTAAAACAAACCGCACATATAATATCTAGCGATGAAGGCGATTAGATGCTACTTTGCTACTAAGCCAACCTACTCATAAGCTTCAAGATAACCATATATATCCATATATATTAAGTAATAAATCAGACGCAAACATGCAGATGTTAGAATATTTCGAAGATTCTATTATGCATCAAAAAATATTCCAATTAAGCTTGATATTAAAAGTAGTAACCAAATTTAGGTTTTTTAAATGAAGGATTTTCAAAAGAAGTTTCTTATCCAGTACTGTGTAAAAGTAATATCTAATGATTAAGCACAACTTTATGAATTGCCTTAATTAGATTTTTTATTGGAGGAAACAACTTTTGAAGAAACAGGTCGGCTTGAGTGTAATAAAATTTTTACTCATTCTACAGACTTCAGAATGAATTCTTAAGAGCAGAATGCGATAGATTCTCTTTAAATTTTTATTTGCTGATGGGACATCTACTTCAGCTTGACTTTTTATATGCTTATTAGACTGCTTTGATATAATTTTATATTCTAACGGGAAAAACCTCGTAAACTGCATCGATGAAATTTTAATACCCAGACAACAAGTTCTCGGACTGTCTCATCTAATTTTAATTAGTGGAATGCTCAAGAAGGAATTTTTGTTTTGGGAAAATTTCATATTTTATTTTAATCTTATGAGGTAGCGTCGAATCGTTTTAATTTATTACTTTTGTAAGCAATATAACAAGTTGATTTAAAACGAGGCATAAAAGACTTGAAAAGGATTTTCAATCCATAGTCAGTAAAATACAAACTGTGAACTTTTTTGCGAGTCAAAACATTTTATAGAGCTCAAATATGTTATTTGAGTTATGAGATCTTAATTTGCAAAAAAGTTCGCATTTTACTTACTACTTTTTCAATCCTGTATTGATTCTGTATTGAAAAAATGTCGTTGAGAAATAACAGAAAATCCCACGAAAAAACTTGTCTGTTGTTTTGAATTATAAGATTTCAAAGGTATGTAATAAAAATTTACCACTGAATTCATAGATCATGTGAGTAATATATAATCAGTGGTAGTGACAAAAATTATTTCATGTTGTGGTTTTTAAAAGTTTTTAAAAATATCTTTTAAAGTTTTAACTAGTTTTTTAGGTAGCTATATTTGTCTTAACCTATTTTAACATCCATCATTAATCGAGGATTATTTTTTTTATGGCGACAATTCGTTGCTCACTTACATATAAACCGTCAGTCCAAAGTATGCTTGCTTAACCCTAGTTATCAATCAATTTCATATTTCTGACTTATTCTAGGAAATTCTCTTTTTAAAACTAACGCGACTTTTAAAATAGATACTTAATAAATATATGGCTCATCGAAACTAATCTCTGATTTAAGATTTACTTTCTGTAAAAATCTGACCTTTAAAGTGCTTATTTTTTTTATACTATTACTAATAAAAGTTTTTTTTTTCCTCTAAAATTTTTCAAAAATATTTCCTGCTTCTCAAGAATTAGGATTTCAAAGATTTATTAAATTTTTCGGAATAAATAATAATAAGACTAAATAATGGATGGTTAAACGCCAAATCTGCCTATACAACAAAGATGAAAAAAAAAATGAGTTAATGTTTAAAATGTTTTATGTAGTGTTTTTTGCTAGCGCCGATATACTATGATTAAAATTTTTAAGTGCACTTAACTGTAAATACTTTTAATTTTTTTAGTTTAGTGGCTTTTGTTTAAGACTAAAAATTTGCGTCTAATTATCTCGTTTCAACATATTCGTTTTATAGGCAGGTTTGGCGCTTAACCATCCATATAGTCAAAAACATTTTGTTTAAAATAAAACTACATACTCTCCAATGAGCATCTTATCTGACTAATGTTTATCGTATAGAACTAAGTGTTAAAATTGGTAAAGAAAATATTTTGGTACATGCTTCGAAGGTTCGCGATAAAAATATTTACTAAGGGATATAAACCACTGATCTCAAAATATAACTGGATAGCGGATTCTATTTTTTTTTTCCGGAAAAAGCTGAAGCCAAAATTTGCCTCCCAAGATGGCGACGACTTAAGTTCCTAGCGGTGAAACCAATATATATTTTATATGGCTTTATCAAACTACGATAGAAAATAATTAAATAAGGCTAATAAATTTGTCAAAAATAAAAAAAAAATGAATTTTATAAATATTAGAGAGAAAAAAAGAAATTAGTTTTTGAATAATTTAATTTATTATTAAATGACATTCACAATTTTAGATCAATTTTGTATATAACTTATGTACCTTTGGTCTTTAGTTATTCAATGCTAGAAGGTTAATAACATAACAGCATGGTAAGCAGCAATCATCTCTACCTAAAATTTATGTTCTCTATTTTTTTAGCAAGAGACCATTTTGTACAAATGCTGCATGAACAGTTGTATGTTAGTATACAGTTTGTATTGAGTTTGTATACAGGGGTATACAAACTCAGGGGTTCCTTCTAGAATTATATTATAATTCTATTAATGCGTAAAAAGTGTCACTTATGCTGGTATAAAAAAAACAAGTCTGAATTATAGTTAATTATATATCAACTTTAAAAAAAAGTAAATAATAATTTCTTATAATTTTAAGGATAATCACTCAATAGAATTGCGGATGTATGTAAAGTTTGTTACATTTGTTTGAAAAAACAAATTTATTAAATTTTGAATATAGAAATATTCAAAACACCTCTTTGAAATATCTCATTAACTAAAGTTATATATACTGTTTACCTGTTGTTAAGTATTATGGTTATATGTAAAGTTTTTATAAAGTCTGACTTTTTTATATTATTAAACTGTGTGTTGCAGTTAAATAATTATATAAATATGTTGTTGAGTTTATTCGCATAAAAGATTGATTACATTACATATTAAATCCACAAAACCTATTTGCAGCAATGCTCTTTGTTTTCCATTTCTTGACATGGTATATAATTATATCATTAATCATAAAGGGATTAACTGTTATGCAAATGAATTAGTCTAAAAACTGGTTAATTAATCTAGTCTAAAAACTGGTTTTATTGGCAATTAAAATATATATCTCGACTGAGTAGAAAAAAAAGGTTCGCCATAAAATTATTTAACATATCAGTCAAAACCATCTAACAAGTTCTTTATTGTGCTGTGAGATCTGCAAGAATGTTTAACAACAATATCATTTGCCAACAGTTTACAGCCACATTAAACAACTCTTGATGTAAATTAGGGTTCAATTTTCAAATGGAAACTGCAGCATCAGAGATAAAACTCATATTTCAAAAATTTTAGATAATTCTTTTGCTCACTACAGTACTAAAATATCTGACTAAAATTGAATTAACAAAAAAATATGATTTGTTAAAGAGAAAACCAACTAATAGTGACCACGAATATGCAGATATTCCAAATTGCAGCATTCTATCTAAATACAAAAAAGCTTTGAACTCATATATTGCCAGATATCAAGCTAAAATGGCATCAAAAAATATATATATATTATAAATATATATATATATATATATATATATATATATATATATTATAAATATATATATATATATATATATATATATATATATATATATATATATATATATATATATATATATATATACATATATATATATATATATATATATATATATATATATATATATATATATATATATATATATATATACACATACATACCTGTTTAGTGATTTTAGTAAAGTACAACTAAATAAAAAATAAAATACATATAATTATATATTAAAATTCTAGAAGGTACCCCTGAGTTATGTGACTCACAGAGCTCAGCTAATGGTTCATGAGCATTTGTAAATTTGTGACATATATTTGAAAAACTAATTTATAACAGTTTATTTTAAAAAGATATTTAGCTGTCTACCATGCAGTTGTGTCATTAAACTTCTAGCACACAGCATTGGGTAGTTAAGAACTAAAAGGTACATAAATTTGTACAAAAAAAAATTTTGAATTTGTAAAGGCCAAAACTGGCTTCAAAAAATTTGCCGTAAACGTAATCCAGTTATATTTTGAGATCAGTGATATAAACCGCTATATTTTGGAAGCAAACGGACGTGTTTTCAACTGCTGTAAAAGAAATCGATTGAAAATTAAAAATAAATAAATAAAATATCCATAAAAGTAATTTTTGATTAAAGAAAGAAAGAAGAAAGGTTTTGCTGTATTTTTATTATTTATTCAAAAACTTGCTTGTTTATTTGAAAGTAGTTTTGCTAAAAATTTGTTTGTTGTTGAAAGTTGTTTTGCTTTTAGTTATATTGTTGTTAAAAGTTTTGTGTTGAGAGTTGAAATTTTTCTTTGTTGATGTTAGGTTCAAAGTTTGTTTGAAAGTTGTTTTGGAAGTTGTTGCAATGTTGCGACCTTTTCCTTAAAGTTTGAAACTTGAAAGGTTTGGAAATTGAAAGTTTGTTGTTGTCTTTTTCTTTTTTTTAGAAAAAGTGTTTTTTTTTCTTTTAAATTTGTATAAGTGAAAGTTGCTTTTAAAGTTGTTTGCCGAATTTGAAAGGTGGTTATTGAGTGAGTCGTTATTGTTTTTAATTGTGCGAAGATGGATCTATCAATGAAAAATATTGAGAAACTAATATCTAAGCTTAAAGATCAGAAGCAAAACATTTTAAAAGAAACTGAAAAACTATTAAAAAAACAAGAAGAAACTTTTACAAAAATAATGAGTTCCAACATAAAAATAATATAGTGGTATATATAGTGGTTAAGCGAGCCCATCGAATAGGAAGAGTTAAAGACAAGCAACCAAGAACTATAGTCCTTATACTCCTGAATTATAATGATAAATGCAAAATTTTAACGTCTGTGAAAAGACTTAAGGGCACTGGAATTTTTATCAATGAAGATTATGCAAAAGAAATCTTAGAACATCGTAAAAAATTGTGGGAAGAAGTTAAAAGACATCGTAAAGAAGGTAAGTGTGCAGTAATCAAATTTGATAAAATTTTTGTTAAAGATATGCATAATAAAAATAATGTAGTCGCGGAAATGAAAGGAGATTCTAACTCTCACTGGAATGGCTGAAATTAGCAATTTTAAGCATCAAGCTTTTAATTTTTCAAAAATGAAAACTTTAATAGATATAAATGTAGAAAACGACCCTAATTATTCTCATGATTTAAATAACGATTGCTTTTACTATTATCCTAGTGAAATAGAAGGATCTCTTTTTAATTGCAATAACAGCGAACAAATTAAAATCCTTCACGTAAATATTAGAAGCACAACTTTGAAAAGCTCCTTTACTTATTAGAAGAAACTAAAAATGTTTTTAATATTATTTGTTCAACTGAAACTTGGATAAACGCAAACGATTTAAGTAATAACGCAAACTTTTATCTTCCCTGTTTTGAGTTAATATCCCAAGAGACATACAAATAAACGCGGTGGCGGAGTTCTTATTTACGTGAAAGAAACCATTGCGCATTACGTTAGGAATGATTTAAGTGTTTCTGACGGCGATAAAAAAGTTTTAACTATTGAAATCTTAAACAATGAATCTAAAAATGTATTACTAAGCTGCTGTTATCGACCACCTGACGGTCTGAGTGAGAATCTGAGCACGTTTTTTGAGCAAAATGTTATCAAAATAGGCATCAAAGAAAAAAAAAAAAAATTTATTATTGGCGATCTAAACATGAATATTTTAAACTACGAAAATGACTGTAAAATAAAAAAATTTTATGATTTAATATTTGAAATAGGAGCAATT